ACGCGATACTTTCAGTTAAACCTTTTTCCAGACGACCGCAATCAACTGATGTTTTCGTTCAACCTGACTTACGATGTGGCACACATGTCTCCGTACGTCGAGATTCACATCGACGACCGCTCCAATTAGCATACGAAGGACCCTTCAAAGTTCTTCAGCGTGAACCTAAGTACTATATAGTCAATAAAAACGGCACTAACGATAGAATCAGCACCGATCAAACCAAAGCAGCGTATTTAGAAGAAAATCCTATCCACGTCGATTTTGCTTCGCTACAATTGAACGACACGGCTCCTACACCCATTAGACCTCATCCGACAGCTAACACGCACGTTGACGCTTCGGCAGTATCTGAAAATAAAGTTAAAACAACGCGTTATGGAAGAGTAAGATTTCCAGAACATTTAAACGACTATTGCACGTAAGACACTAGTTAACATTTTGATTTTACTTTGTTTTATACATGATAAAAAATTTATTATCATTATACTCACACCTTTGTTACAAAAAATTGTGTTCGACATTGGATGCTGATCACATTAGTTTTAATATACTCACCTAGCTGAAGGCGCTCGGTCATGCATCTGCACCAGATCACGAGTGGGAACGGCATGCTCAACATCTCCTGTAATCACTGGCCAGTTTAAATCATTCACTTCTCAATATATTGATAATCAATCAAATATATCTTCCAACCTTCTCGCTTCTAACTTTTGATTTCACTGGGTGCGATTAACTTACATGCGTTGCTGGTAGTGTTGTCAAACTAAAATACCTGTAGCATCCTCAAGTTCTTCGTAACGCCGGTACTGCATGTCAGAAATAACGTTGGCATCAGGACGATAATGAAACTCAGCAATGCTATTTGCGATTCCTTCCTTAATCAGTAACTAGGTCCCAGATTCTGTCCTTCAGTGGAGCGCTAGACATACAATGCTGCGAAGCCCCATAGTACGAAGAAACAGTTGTCCAATATTTATTAGTATATATTTTTTACCCAGGTTCTGTTCGTGGTTTAAACTATGACAAGGTATTCTTCATAATGATTCGCATAAAAAAATCTGCCATACATTGTGTACTTATCGCAAGGTATTCTTCCACGAAACACCACCTGTAGATCCACAGTTATAACCGGTCTCCCGTCCAGGCAAATGAGAAGGGTTGAGCATGGAGTCAGCAATCACATCCCGTAGAAGAAAGCCTTGCTGGAAAACGCTAACTAGAAAAAATCATTTGAACAGCTTAAACCCTGTCATGGAAGTTGTAAGATCATCGTTCAGAAGAATTATGATACCTCATGATGAAAGCTGAAATCCCTCGGAAGTCACGTGGACGATGCCCCTTCTAACAACCAGAGCAACAATTATTAAAAGTGCATTTAATGTTCAGAAAATTTGGGAGACCGGGAAGACCAATCAAATAGCTATGAAAATGAGGAGATACAACTAGGCAGAGCTCAGAATTAGTGGAACCCATTGTACCCAAGCTAGACAGAAAAGGTTGGGTACAGGAGATGCTGTTGTACTCGTCACGAAGAGGAAAATGCTCCACACCCTCAGACAGTTGCTCCGATGCTGTTCAAACAAGCACGAATAGTACTCATAGAATGGGAATCTCATGGACCAAGTATCATCAAAGCATCCTTCAAAACAAAAGAGAGAATCACAATCAAAGTTATCGGTAATGCACCCATCAATGATAGCAAAGACGACGATAAAAATCAGTTTTATGAGAGGCTGCAATCAATCATAACGAAGTGCGTAATAAAGGATCACACCATCCTGATGGGAGACCTGAACGCCAAAGTCAGAATGGACAACACCGTGTATGAAGATATCATAGGGACTGGGAGAAAGGAACCAGAATGGTTACAGATTTACTAATTTATGTGTATTCAACAAAGTGGTTATGGGTAGCACTATATTCCCCACACACAAAACTACACGAGTCTCAAAATACAAGGAACCAGACCGATAATAAATGTCACTAAAAATTCAGGACAATGGAAGCCATGAGAACCAGGAGAGAAGCTGACATAGCTTCAGATCACCACCTGGTTGTGGCCAAGATGGAGCTGAAGCTAAATAAACACTGGACAATCGGGAAAACAGCATTACAAAGGTTCAATACAAACTTCCTTCAAGATACTAACAAACTCAACGAATTCAAGATAACTCTTAACAACAGATTTCAAGCCTTACAGGATCTACTGAAAGAAGAAACTACAGTGGAGGACAACTGGAAAGAGATCAAAGAAGCACTAAGTTCAACGTACCAGGAAGTGCTGGACCGCGAGAAGCATCATCGTAAGGAATAGATCTATATGAGAACCCTGGACAGGATTCAAGAAAGGAAGAACAAGAAGACAGCGATTAAAAACAGCCGAACAAGAACGGAGAAAGTCAAGGTACAAACTGAATACATAGAAGCAAAAAAAGCAAGTGAAGAGAAGCATGAAAGCCGGCAAGCAACAATACGTAAAAGACACAACGAAGAAACTAGCAGAGAAATATAGTAAACCAAACAGACCGGTCAAGGACAAAGAAGGCAAGGCAATAACTGAGATTTAACAACAGAGGAACAAATGGGTAGAATACTTCGAATAACTCTTGACTAGAAAAGCCCCATTGAGCCAGCACACACAGACTTTCCTATAGATGTCACCCCATCAACAATCGAAGAAATCAGCATAGCCATCAGACAAATCGAGAGTGGTGAAGCTTCAAAACCTGGCAACATAACACATAAACCACTGAAGTCAGACAGAATGGTGACTCCGAAGATATTCCACTTTCTTTTCAGAAAGATTTGGGAGGAAGAACAAATGACAACAAGCTGGGAAGAAGGATACATCGTCAATAAATCAAAGAAAGGAGATCCCAGAGAGTATGAGAACTCCGATGTAAAGGCATCACACTATTATCAGCACCAAGAAACGCTTTCAACAGAGTGTTGTTGAATCGAATGAAAGAACCAGTCGATGCCTACCAGCTTCGAGACCAACAGGCCGGACTCCGTAAGGACCCGTTGTGCACAGACCAAATCGCAACACTATGGATCGTCGTTGAACAATCAATTGGATGGAACTCGTCACTATATATAAGCTTCTTTGACTATGAGAAAGCATTGGGCAGTGTGGATAGGACTTTACAGGAACTCCTTCGACACTATGGTGCACCTGAAATGATCGTCAATATCATACGGTGGATTTCACTGCAAAGTGATGCATGGTGCACCTACGCCTTTGTAGTCGATTCTCAACTGTCACCCAGAATCTCCAACCATTGGTTACGATAGTCACGTGGACCCCAACCAAGCAGTCTGCATCTATCAACATGGCTCAGACTAGAAGTTAGTGAATTCAAGGACTGATGCCATGTTTTGGTTTGGCCACCTGAAACTTTCTTCAAACTATCCCTCCCCCCAATCGGTGTTCAGGAATACGTAACATGTGGCTCAACCATCTCAGTCGATGTAGATTTACAACCTCATCAACTGGTTTATCATCATTCCCTAAGACCATGTGTCTAACCTCACTATTACTTACCCAATAATCCCAGCAGATGCGAGCAATATTTCTATGACATCTGTGGTCAAATATTAGTAACTTGCGAGTATCTTTTACTTTAATGGTGACGTTTCGCAGCCGTAAATCGAATAAGAGCGAACTGCTGCACAGTATACTCGTCCTTTTATTGATAGACGGATATCTCGCCTTCGCCCTAGATGACGTAAGTTGACAAAAGTCAAACGAGCTTTTTGAATCCGCGCAGGGATTTCATCAGACACCAACCCATTAGGGCTGATTAAACTTCTAAGATAAGTGAAGTTGTCGAAGCAGGCCAGTCCTGGAGCAACAATTTACATTTAGAGGGGGAGAAACGCATCCCAAACATCCTGGCATTGTTACTCAGTGCTACCAAAAGACTTGCATTTTATCAGCGTCTTCATCAAACAGGACCATGTCATCTGTATATTCTAAATCAATAAGTGAACCTCCTGGTAGATCAATTCCTGGGAATTCAGACGACGAGGACGTTATTCCCAGCAGTAGGTCTATGATGATGTTAAACGAAAATGGAGATATTGGCAACCTTGCCGGACACCACTTGATGTTCCAAAATCAGATGACAGTTTGCCATACACTCTGACTCCGCCTGCAATGTTTCAGTAAAGAGCCTTCACAAGGTTTATGTAATTCTGAGGTACACCATTCAATGACAAACACTGCCAAAGAACCTCTCGGTTTAGAGTCAAATGCTGCTTTCAAGTCAAGATAAACTATCTTTGTCGGACGCCGATAAACATGTCTGCGTTCAAAAACTTGACGAATGGTGAATGTGTGGTCGATTCAGCCACGACCAGATCTGAAGCCAGTAACACGCAGTCAGTTTATTCACGTTACTGAAGTAGTTCTATTTTGTGAATAATTGCATTAATAAACGCTATATATATGAACACTGTCAGAGTTAAAAGACCGGTGTTTTATGAATGAGATTGTGTACTATAATATAAATAAATACACATATATGTAGGTGGGATAACTGCTTTATGAACATGTACTCAATGGATACATGCTTAGCTATAAGTTAAAAGTCCCCAGACAAAATGTTGGTGACCGAAAACTCAACTGGAACACATCCAACCTCTATCCTACACTAGGCATCTTTTTGTCTACAATTAGCATGGAAACTTGATATTACGTTGAATACTAACTTTTTTCTATTTGTATATATATATATATATATATATATATAACGCAAACAACTTGAGAAATTTACCAACTTTAGGGGGATTTCCTAACTGTTTAACAGGTATCAGAAGAATAACCAATAAAAAAGCAGTAATGAAACCTCGCTATTTTCATAAAAAAAGTTATCTATATCTCACAGGTACATGTATCTTTATTTAAAGGTAGGAAAAACACTCATTAATTCGTGTATAATTATAACGACAATGATTGTAATAGATTACTCTATGTCAGCAGATAGTTGCTGCTGCTATTTTAGGTGATGCCGTTGATGTACAATTGGGCAGCTACTACTGATTGATGTAATAACAGATGATTCTTTATAATTATTAACTGTCTGTACGTCTGCATGCACCACGCAGCTCATATTTGAAGATGACGATGACGACGACGAGAAGGAGGAACATATTCGAGAAGTTAACAGACAAGATGAAGATAAGTTAGTGTGGAAAGTAGAAGTAACAGGTCCTGTGAAGATTAGATTCTGTTTGTCTTTATAGTGATCAGTTGTATGAGCATAAATTGCAGGGTAATTATAACTTGCAAAGTTCGTGAATGAAGTTATGGATGGGATGGCTGATGCACACAATCTAGAAGTCTGTAAAACGGTATTATCACTACCACTATTACCATGCTTTGCTGAGGCAGAGTGGATAAGCATGTTACCAAGTGTATTTGTCGAGGTACTGGTAAACAATTGACCTATATTGTATGTTGACAGTAGAGATGACATCTAAAAATAATAAGAATCGATTTTATGCAAGTATTTCTCTCTTCGATATTATGATTACAATATAGAAAATCAATTACTAGTTTATTACCTTCAAACAAATGACTCTTTCAGCATAAAAATACTACGAAACCTGAAGTCAGTGTTCCAGAAAACAAAAATAGCTGTTTGTTGATTAATTTTACTATGGACATAAATTATTATACGTGGTGTAACCAAAGAAGAGGACTCAAATTAAAATCATACCTATGGTCATCGAATTTAGTGGGTCTGTGATAATAACTGAGGTGATCTCGACAAGTAATTGATGGCAAATATAATAAAAGGGAAATGTAATTCTTCTGAAAGATGTTATGACAAAAAACAGTAGGAAGCTGAGTACTTTTAAATTGTAAACCACAGTGTGGAAATATGAAATGTAATTAAATATACACACATATATGAACTAGGATGCCAGTAACAACCATTTTCAATGGATAACAAACATAATGTTGTGACTAATCACAAAGGTTGTACGAACAGTAATTTTGAGGGTATAAATCAAACCCTACCTGATCATAACAGAAAAGAACTGGGATGTTAATTAGTCCACTATTTGTAAAATATTAGCATTCGTAAACAACACAATTATCAATTAAAATACATTTGAAATAAGAAATTGTCTTGGCATATTTCTGATATGGCGAGTAATAACTTCATCGACTGGAATGCTAATTACATATGAAACTTGTATTTTTCCAATCGTGTGTGATATGGATTCGTCACATCTCAACAAGGATTACAGATGCTTAATTGCATGATAATGATATATATGTTCATACAGTAAGTTACTGAATTATTATCGCTAAATACAACTCAGTTTAATTTATACAAATCTGTCTGTTAATCTTACTATAAATAAATCATCTAAAAAGTGGTGCATTCATAAATCCTTTCGATTTATTTTGAGAGTTTGATAAATCCTTATCACTAATCTTCGGTTTTAAAATTAGCACTTTTTCTCTTGTGTTTAAGTTGCCGTGTAGATTCAACCTGAGGATATTAGAAGGGACTAGGAAGTAGAATCGAGCATTTATTTAGCAAGACTTATCTAGTTTCACTGTAGCCCAATACGTAGTTCCAATTTTCAGGCATACACCATAAACTGATGACTAATCACAGTTATGCCAAAAACTGAGTTTGGGCACGTGGTAGTTCAAAAATAGACAATCAAAGCTCTGAAATAAAAGTACCTAATTGGTAGAAAACATAAGCACTAGAATGATATGCATTAAGTGGTTTTTGATCAGATAAAAGATATAGGAGAAATTCGTTTGACTTACATCCCGTTGTTTATTAGATGGGAACTGTCTATCATCTAAACAAAATTTTGTAGGATCATCAACCGAATCACTTAATGGCTCTGTCAATGCTGCTGTTGTTGCAATATATCCGGCCTGACTGACAGGATTACATCGACTAGTACTTTTTGGTAAACACTCAAGTTGTTCTATTTTCATCGTAAGTTCTAAGATTTGTAAATCACGTTGTTTGAGGGTTTCTGAGTAAAAAATGTTTACCAAAAAAAGACAGATGGTGATATATGACAATATAAAATACCATATAAAGATTATGTCGAAAATTCTTGGGACAAAATCAAACTAAAAGCATCAAGTGAACAGTCAAGATTGCATATATTTTGAAAATGAGTGACTAGAAGCATATAAAAAACATGCTAGTTATTGCACTGAACTAAAACAGGGACTGGAGCATGATATAGCTTTGAGTAAAATCTATATGACTCTAAAATAATGACTATTGATTTGGTTAATATACGAATTTTCAGAATGTATTGATGATGTTCGAAATTAACTGCAGTCATGTAAATGAAGAAAGTGAATGTATAATGTCATTAAAAATGTCTCGAGTTTTCTTGGTTTGTATTACTTCTGTTGACTTGCCTTCGGGATAGTGCTGATAAGTGATGTATCTTGAACTGATGCATTACAATATCAGGTTTTAAGTAAAACTTTGTTTATAATAATTCAAAACCAATATCTTAGACAATTTACTTCTACATTTTAAGGGGACATTTAGTTTCTTATACTCTATTCCATTCGATATAAATAGTATGAGACAGTGAACACAATACTCATCTATAAAATAACAGGATGGATTATAGAAAACTTTATGATCATCGAAGACATGTCGGTATACTTACTAGATAATAAGTACAAAGAAATGAAACTAAATGAGTGATTATTAATCTGACTTACTCTAATAATTATTGATTCATCTAGACAAAATAAATAGGCTAACCTGTGACCAAACATAGAAACGAGTGATTCGGATTAGACGATCAATTAAACTTTATATTGACTATACATGTAAGTTAAAATATGATTAAGTGCTATACAAGCTATAACTTTGAACTCCATTATCCGGCAAACATTCATTCACTTAAACTATAATTGTCTTACATATAAATAAGTTGGTATAGTGGTCTGTGAGCTAGATAATTTAGTGGTAAAGGTTTCACTGCTCGTCTGAACAATGTCATCAGTACGTAGTTCAGAGTGAGTTATTAGGCTTTATCCACATTTGACAGCTTTTCCCATTGGTCTAAGATTTGATTTGTTGTCTTTTATAACCGTGTTGTTGTTGACGTATGTGTTTTGCTGTTTTTCTTTTTTGGCTTTGCGATTGTCAGTCCTTTCACTTATTGCCTGATAGGTTTGGTTGATTTTATTTTGTCTATTAATTGATACTTGGTTGGATTAGCTTGTGCAATGAGGTGAATTTTTATTGATTCTTGGAATTCTTCAATCGATTGACTCACTAGCTAAGTGAACAAAACGATGGCGTATGTAGCGGACGGTACTAGGTTCGAGTCTCAGTTCTAGGATGTAGGTACATACAACTAATGAGTCCTAAATAGAACGAAACGCACGTCATAGATTCCACTGCTAGACGCCATCCATCTCAGTTTAAAATGCTTGTGACTCAATGGCATTATCGCGACAATACCCACAGGATGCATATATGACAAAAGAAACCGATCATTTGCAGTCGCAAACATCAATAGGAAGATTTAGATAACCGAAAAAGAATGAGTTTACCCAATATGGAGAATGTCTCAGAGCACAAACAGATTAAGGTCACTGGGAATACGTGTAGCCCACAAACTGACAATATCGTTGGAATCAGTAAAATGCAAACAATGGACACAAAGACAAGCAAAGCACCATGTACAAGATAAATTGCATTAACTGAGACAGGCGCTACATAATTCAAAGCAACCATCCTCTTTGTTTGTACTTGAATGAACGCCAGTTACCTGTTAAATAATACGATATACCCCCAATCATATAGATATGAGTGTACAATTATGGACATAATCTCGACCAGAAAAACGTCGAAATATTAAACAGAAAGCACAAAGAAAGCCAGAGAAATCTGATAACCTAATCAGGCACCAATAAATAAACAAATTGAAATCAACCAAATCTATCAGGCAATAAGTGAAAGGACTAACAATCACAAAGTCAAAACAAATACGCCAACAGCACAGTTATAGAAGGCAACCAATCAAATCTTAGACCAATGGAAAAGCTGTCAAATGTGGATAAAGCCTAATAGCTCACTCTTTGAACTACGTACTGATGACATTGTTCAGACGAGCAATGAAACCTTTACCACTAAATTATCTAGTTCCGAGACCACATCTTCAACATCCTTAGTCTGAGCTACAAATATTCTTTACCATACATTAAACTTCCAAATCGATTTCTCTGTTTGAAATTCAGATTTAGTAATCCTTTTCATTGTTTTACGTGAAATATTCTAGGATGGGCATTAAATTACTTTTTAATAAACATATTACGAAAACCCAGCGAAAAATTCCGTACGTACTTATTGAGAGCTCAGGTGAATTTCAGCTGTCGATGTAATAATCTTGGGGAAAAAGTTCACTAGACATTACAACTAACAGTAATCTTGGGAAAAAACCACTTTAAAAGTCGACACTAGACTATCATAAATTTACGAGGACAATTATTTCCCTGAGTAAATAATTAAGATATCTTTGTCAATGGAGGTATGTAAAACTATTTAATCAGTGGTTAGGACTAGAATTCCAGTACTTTCATGTCATAATGTTTTTCAAAAACAAAACCAGAATTGTAATCAGTTTTTTACAAAAACATAAAACTATTTCAGTGCGATTGGTTTCCTTTACGAATTTGAATAAGCTCAAAACAAAAATTGAATCAGAATAACCTCAATTCATTTTATTTTGTGGTTTCTCAACAGCTCCTTACAACCGTATTCGTATCAAAGTGTAAAATTAAGATATGATGCAAAGTTGAGTAACCAACATTGATGACGGAAAGAATAAAAATAACAGAAATTACCAACAGATATATATATATATATATATATATATACGAAATTAAGGTCGTTTACAGATAAAATTCAAAAATACAGAGGATTGTGGCAGTAATTAAGTGGAGTCCGGAGACTAATAAAATGAACTGTGATAATTATAGAAGACTTGAACCGTTTACATAAGTTTCACATCACTTGGGAACAAATATATATGATCGAGAATTCGAAATTAGTTAGATGGGTTATGTAATAACTATATAAGATTTGAAGAGCATGCTCTAAAGAATTTGAGACTGAGTGGTGCAGCAGCTCTGATCTACGCAATGCAAAATCTCAGTAGTTGATTGGTGGCGGGCATATCACCGACACTTCCTAGTCCTTCAAAATAATCAGTAGACAAAAAGTACAACTTTTCTTCAGTTTGCCAAAGCAGTAATAATCAGAAAATTCAAATCAAGATTAATGTGTCTAGACAATAGTGAATTTATTACTACGCCAAAACCATCCTTTCATTTAACTGTTTTGCTGAACCGATTTTCTAAACTTATGTTTACATTTTCATCAATAGATGACATCTATTGAAGAGCCATCGAAAAGCATGGTGCAATTGATAGCCGTTCCAACTTAGTTTGGAGATCATAAGCAATGAACAATCAGTCTTACACTGCATTGAACTAAAAATAATAAATTTTTATGACGGACAGGATATCATTCCACCAGAACTGGAATCGAATTATGTATATTTTCTGAATTTTGTCAATTAATCATAGAGTTAACTAGTGCTCAGTATTAAACTATTTCGAACTGAAGAAAAACGACTATTCTAACCTCCAGCTGATGTCGGTCTATGCTCAAATTTATTGCAAAATGTCCCCGTAAGTGGTTTTATGTTTTGTATTTGTGCGTACCTGATAGGGTAACGTAGTTAAGCAGGATAAAACAATTTATTAGATAATGGTTTTTGCATAATAAAAACCAAGAGTGGCGGTCGATATATGAAAAACAATCGTGACTACGAACCATTTTGTATAGTAGTTAGTTTATATCAAGAATAGTTTGCAATAACACAAGAGGTCAGTTTGGAACTAGTGGATTTTAGCATAGAACCTTAGGTGGAATACAAAAATTTTCCTATGAAGTTTATTCTATCCGAACAACAAATTGAATCTACATAATAAAACTAAGATGAAAAATATAATAATACATTTTACTTAAGTGCATTAATGTACGGCTAAAAAACCACTGACTAAACTTTCTATTTATTGTAGCAGTTAATATACACTCATGATAGAGAATTCACATAAACATGATTAAACTGTTTGAAGCAAAGTACGTATAAAAAGTTACAGGCCACAAGCTGAGTGTCCAGTTAGTGAAAACCCAAAAGGTTTCAAAAAAATTGATCCTAAACGTCTAAAACAAACTTACTATTGAGTTCAGTTATTTCCCGTACAGATGTGTGATATAATGTGAGTAATTCTTGTTTTTGCCAATTCTCTGTACGTAATTTATTTGCCAAACGTTCTCGTTTCTCATTAGCTAAATTGAAACAATTTTCTAAAAATGCATGCCTATGGTTATTTGTGGATGTATGTTGACTAATTATAGCAACATTATGCAAATTTTCTACATTTGAGTTTAAAATGCAACAATAAACATCTTTGGTTATAAAATGTCCGGATTGAAGTCGACATGACAAAGATTGTGAATCATATTGATGAACACTGCTATCATAATTTGAAGTGTCTACAACCTTTAAGTTTGTATTGGTTAGACACTCGGAAACCAGCTGACCTGAATGGTGCATTTTGGAAGCTAGTGTCAAGTTTTCACGATATTTCACAGTTAATCTAAGTGCATAAATCTTTGACTCTAGTAGTTGACGTAGTCTACAGCAATAATTACCCATTATTTTTTCACTTTCGCTTGGTTGAAGTATTAAGACATTAGGATTCGACGATGAGTCATTATTAGAAGAGGCCCTATATTAATCGAAAGGTAAATAAGATAAAACATAAAGTCAGATTTAAATAACGATTTGACTAGTAAGTTTTTCTGCAAACTACAATACATGTTAGGATGTCGAAAATAATTAGCTTCTGGACGTAAATAATAAATGAAAAAAATACTGTTTAACTAATTGTTAGCGATCTGAAACCAAACGTTAGAAGCCTATGCATGTTTTTTATCTTGACAGCTCAAGTATTTAAGCTATGATTAGGCCGAAACTACTGTGCGGTATACTTGGTATTTGATATTCAGAGAGACGTCTCACCTGCGTTAGATGTGGTACGAGTTAGTATAAACCAAAATAACAATCCGTACTCGTGCTGAAGTTTTGTCAGACACCAGCTTATCATGATTGTTGCGAATTGCACGATAATCAAACTAATCAAAACACTCAGTATACATACATTACGCATTGAGACATACCGTTATCGAGTTAGCATATTGCATTTGGGGGCTGGCCAAATCCCATGCCAAACATTTATGTATATGCGTTTTAGATGTTCAGAAGATTTTGAACAACGCTTTCTCTGAAGCTTAAAAAAATGCTTAAATCGTGAGTGTTAATGTTTTTGGAGACTGGAGAAAAATGTACTAATGATGACAGCGATAATTTGATGGTATATTTACAGAACCCATTGAAAAACTGACTGCGGCTGGTCATCCATACTTTAGTGTAGCTATTTTTGTAGTATTAGCTCTGAAAACTCTAAATCATGTCGCCTACTACTATCGCTGTACCCAAGTCCAGTCAATACGCAAGATTTTAATCCTGGTATATTTAGTCTTATTGCTATTCAATCAACCTCTCTGGTATAATGGAACACAGTAAAACAATTGTTTGAGCCAATATAGACGGATTCGGTCGTCATGATGGGCGAGTCTAATCACCACATCACAGTAGAAGCTATGGCCAAGTAGAAGCAACCAAAACAAGCCAGAAAAAGGTGGATTTGAAGTACAGGTTATTATATTCGGCTTTGAAACATATGCGTTTTATGTAGTTAGTAAAACTATCCAATTGCCTGGACCAAGGTTCGAGCTTGTGCTGTACAAACTGAAGGCCGATTGCTTTAACCATTCATGAAACCGCCGCTCCGCGTACAAGAACACACACTCATGATTTAGTTGCGGTCCTAGTAAGTAAAGCGTAACGTTTTGATGCAGAGAGCAGCTTCATTTATTCCTTTGAATGGTTTAAGGATAGAGTACACTATCGAGTGGGTTTAGACGGCTACAGCAAGCAGCAAAAGTAGTTAAATTTGAACTAAAAAATTACTGTTAATACTTTCTTGAAAAGTGGTGAGGAAGACATGAAATGGAGATCTAGTGAACAAAGGGAATATTCTACTGCTAAGAATTACGCTAAGCATAACTTTATACATGCTCATACTGATGATGTCTTAAATTCTAAGCACCATAAAATATGAATTAAGAGGTATGGTGAATGACAGCTTACAACTCACAAACTTGTCCTGGACAGACTATTTATCACACTATTTGACTCTAATTATATACTTTTAAATTCAACCCGAATAAAAAAACAATTAGAGACCTCAAGAAGTAAAACATTAGTTTCTTTAGCAGTTACTTACTGAATAAGGGACATAGATGTTGGAATACTCTTTTCAGTTGAATTGCTAAATACGCTATTAGGATTGTTTGATCCCACAAAACTACGCACAGGAATTACACCTATTTCAGTGAGTTGAGCTTCAACCAACTGACGCAAACGAACTTCTTCACCTAAATTTTGCTCAATTGTGTTTAAATTAATCCGCTCAGTACGGCATTTATTAGCAAGCTTTGAAATACGTGATGAAATACCCTCGTTCTCTTGACGCTGGTTGGACAGACTGAGTCGATTGAGGTGATCGTCATGTTGAAGACTGTTTAACTGGTTACGCAATTGTGTTTCCAGTCCACGCATGGACTGTAATTCTGAACGGAGACGTCTAACGTTACTCTCTAATCTATTGTAAAAATATCAGCAAAGTGTTTATTAGTTGTTAGATAAAGTATACAACACAATAGTATGTAAATAATCAATAAAAATTGTTATTTCGAATGATCAATGTCCTCTTTTGTTGCTAAAAAGAAATTAGGTTGTATAGGTTTTTGTTATTACATGTCAGTTCTTTCTTCAAAGGATAAACACGATGACAACTTTCTAGTTCACATTTCTGCGATGACCCTAGCTATTACCTTATCGGTTGTTATTCTTTTTAATTGGCTTTATTATATGTTCAAGATTATTGCACATTATTATAGAAATAGAGTTGTTGCATTTCAATCTTTTACTTCTATTACGGGTATAAAATTATACTGAAATTCCTGGCATCTCTATCTTATGGATTATCAATGCTGAAGTGTTGTTGTGTGAGATACGCCCGGTTCCCACTCTTTTACGTTTGTATAAGGAGAATCCCAATCGTCCAGTAATTAGCAATGACAGTAAGTCCGTGCCGATCCATCAAACCATTAGATATAACAGTCTCGAAATAAGGTTACATAGCAAATGTTATCCTGAAAAAATCCACACCACTAAATTTACTAGATTTTACACGTTATTTTGATTTCCTGGTTCATAATTCAGTTATTCTTAATGGTGAATAAAATTTATCACCAACAGGAAGAGAATTGACTCAGTGAACTAAATAAAACAATTTTAGAGCAAATTAACGTGTAGTATAGAATACAGCATATCCAAGTAGCTTTTAAAGTTCTTTAGTTGGTAATGACATACAGTGAATAGGAATTTATACCTTAAATAAATTTTTTAGCTAACTTGATTAAATTAATTGTACGAACAGAGTAGATAAATAAAAACTACGACGTTAAATAACTAGTGCCAGGCGGAATTATAGCCCAAAAATTTAATAGAATGACTATCAAATGCGTCGTAAATGTTGTAGTGATTCATATGAAAGATTCAAAAGAATTAAAGATCATTAAATTAACGCGAATTCGCACACCTTGTTACTGGATCTTCCTTAGCACCTCGTTCACGTACTGGTTTCCCACTATTAGATTGCTTAGGAACACAACCATTAACTGTAGGTTTAGAATTTGGGTAAAGGTTCACTGGATTCTCTGTGGTATATCGACGACCGATTTGTGATCCAGACAGACTTGAGTCAAGGCACTGTATAGTTCGACGTCGACCAGCATCAGTAACATATGTATTTGATATTACTCCATTCACTATCGTAGTCGAGGAATGGTTAAAACGTGCAGTTCGACTGTAAGCATAGCACATAGAATGATTGAAAATACTTAACAGAAAACATGTATCACACGAAATTGACAGTTGTAAAATTTAAATGCAATGCAAGGAAATCCGCCTACTAATATGATAAATATAAATCATTATGCCTCTTACATTGTCCAGAAAACAGAATATCCTGATGATTAATAACAGACTCACAGAAACGTTGTTTTAGAACTTACTTCGTCCGTGTACGATGTAATAAACTAGCGCTGCACAACTGGGAATTCATCCTATTGTAATTTATAGGAAGGATCACAATGTTATATAGCATATCGCACCATAATGAGAAAAATTGCCCCACCTATTTGTTATTGTTTCTCAATAAGATTATTTTGGTTACATTTGTGATAGGAGGTGGTTTTCTTAAGGGACCACACAGCGAGCTTTTGTCATAATGTCTAATTCACAAAGCAGTGGAGAAACGTTAAGAGAAACAGTCCCATGGTATCCGGTGACCAACAATAGGTTCAATACGCAATTCGTTCCATCAGGATCCTGGAGCCCATGTACACCATTGGTTTGGAATCAGGCTTTTCCAACTCTCCTAGGTGGACCCTCTGTGTTCACCAACCCGGTTAAAGCGCCGGACATCCGCTTTTCGTTCACTGAATTCGGTAAACAACACCCCTGTCTCGAGAAGGCAGAGAACAGGGCTTCCCTGTCAGTGGCTATATACGCGTGGACATTGTTAGGATGATCCTGCAAATTTCTCGCAATAGACATGACAAGCTCTGGAAAACATTAAGAAGCATTTTATTCAATCAGCGTTTGATTAGAAGTTTTGCTAGAAACATCGCGAAAAATGAAAAGTCACATGTAGAGGTTCTGATTGGCTGATTACTACACTGCTACTATGTTTAGTAGCATTCCATAATTTTCAGGAAATCCCAAGGACTTTTAAAATACTATAAAAACCCTATATTTTCTGTACATAAATGAACCTTCGGAGTAAAGTGCTTCTCGTATATTTTGTGCTTTTTCTCTCGTGTTTAAGTCGCTGTGTAGTTCTAGCTTGGGGGTACAAGACTAGCTTAGGATCCGAATAATGCGTTCAATCAGCAAGACTTATCAGACATGTGAGAGCATTTCGAAATGGGCGGACTCTCCTCATTTTTGGCCGTACCAGGGCATTTGGGGGTCGAACAGGAACAGAGGAAGCCAAGGCGAATACACAGAAGCAAACAATCACATGAGGAGAAGCACTAGGACTAAAAGCGGAAATATTTGGAAGACCTAGCAATGACAGGAAAAAGCTGCAAGAAAAGGAAACATAATACAGCCATTCAATACGATGAAGTTAGAGGGAAAATATGGTGAACGAGAGCGACCAGTCAAGAAGAAAGATAAAAATAAACGGTGAAGTTCAAGAGCAACGGAACAGGAAAGTACAACATTATCAAAAGCTCTTAAACAGATCGGCCCAACAGAACCCGCTAGGCATCAAAGCAACACACACGAACCTTCCCAAAGATGTTATCGCAGTAACAATAGAAGAAATCAGCATGGCCATCAGACAAATCAAGAATGGCTGAAAAATTCCCATCATATTAAAACAATTATATGAACGAAGAATATTCTTTTCAATAATTTCTCATCAGGTTCTACAATTATAAATTAATAATCCATAAAAGAAGATTGGCCAAGTTTAAGGCAGAGTACATCAATTTAAGAAACTGTAATATGTGAATCAAGGATTGTTTGTCATATAAAATAAGATCGAATCATTAATGTTTTTCGGATGACTAATATGAAGTGTTAACTTGAATCAGTTTATAGGTGAAATAAAATCGTAAGATAAATTATCAGAATATATATAGTTGACATGGGGGTGAGAGCTACAAAAATAGGATTACAAATCGGAAATTACGTAATATGTAGAATTATATAAATTAGATCAGATATAGTAGATAGGGGGTGGATGATAAATAAATTTCTATAAAAGGTTAGCAGGTGTGATAATAATAATAAAGATAATAAGAATAAGAATAATGACTGATAAGATGTGTAGATAAACTAAGTTTGAGATATAGAAGTGAACATTAATCAAATTAATGTCACCATATTACAAAATTGATTATTAACAAGTTGACCCTGCAGTTGGCCAGGGTAAAAGGAGTGGCTGTACATATTTCTTTTGGATGCAGAGCTCTGGCTTTTTTATCCGAATAGCAATTGCCTCAGCCGTCTGCAGGATTCTCTGTCTGACAGAATTAGGTAGACTGCTATTTACACGATATATTACTGTGAAAGATTGCTCAATGTCGGCTCTATGTCCCGTCTGAACTAAATGGGCTAAAACAGAGCTGTTAACCGTTCTGACTACACCTTTGCTTAACCACTCTGGAAGGTGTTCACGAGCCCGAGTATACAAATTCCTAGAACATCTGCCTATATAACTTGCTCCACAGGAGCAGTTGAATTGATAGATACAGAAAGAAGTGGCTAGTCTAGGCAATTTATCTTTTAATGTCAGCGTGATCATTGGGCGTGTGGAAAACATTAGTTGTAGTTTACCTGCATTAAAAGTCCTTTCGATTGATCTTCGTAGTTTCAATCTTACCATTTCACCAGGTGCGTCACCTCTGAATTGTAGACGTATGTACAGAGGTTTTTTATTCACAATTAAACATTCTTTATGGTCTCTTTTATTAGTTATGTTTTTATTTATAAATTTCTCCGGGTATCCATTTTCTCTCAGGGTCATATATAATGCTTTTGTTTCTTCTTCGACCGTATCTTCAGAGCATATGGTCTTAATTCTATAGTGTAATGTCTTAATTAGGTTCCTTTTGTACTGTAGAGGAACAAAACTAAGAAAGTTAGTATACTGACCCGTCCACGATGTTTTCCTGTTTATATTTCTCCTTAATGAACCGTCTTTTCTCTTTGTAAGAACATCTAGAAAAGCGATCCTACCTCCATTTTCCTCCTCACATGTGAATTTAATAGACGGATGGGCTGTATTGAATAGCTGTAGTGTCTCCATTAAGTCGGTATAGTCGTTACATAGGATGAATGTGTCGTCCATATATCGGCAATAAAGTGAAAACTTTTCAATCTGTCGTGTGAGTGGGCCGTTTTCTAGTTTCGCGAGAAAAATATCAGCCAATATGGGACCTAGGGGTGAACCCATCGCGACACCATCTATTTGTCTGTAGATTTCACCATTGAATTTGAAATGTACATTCATAGTACATTTTAGTAGCAATTCTTCGATGGTCTCCACAGGGACTGTAGTTACTATTTCCTGTTCTCTAAGCTGTTCACAAATATATTCTTCGTTCATATAATTGTTTTAAATCAAGAATGGTAAAGCAGAAGAACTGAACACCATACCAGATGGAGCATTGAATTCCGACATGGAAGTAACTGCAGAGATGCCCCAATTTCTCTTTAGAAAGATTTGGCAGGAAGAACAAGTGCTGACAGTCTTGAGAGATATCTCATCAAGATACCGGAGAAAAGAGATCTTAGAACGTGCGAGGGCTAGAAGCATCATACTATTATCAATGCCATGAAAAGTTTTCAATGGTGTTGCCAAACCAAATGAAAGATTCAGTATAGGTTCAATTTCCAGACAAACATACTGGATTTCGTAAGGATCAATTATGTATCGACCAAATTGCGATACAATTGATGAAATGGGACTCATCACTATACACCAACTCACTTGACTATGGAAAAGCATTCGACGGAATGAATAGAACTTTATGAGACCTTCCTCGACACTATGACGTATCTGAGAAGATTGTCACAACCGTACGGAATTCTTACAACAGACTACACTGCAAAGTCATGCACAGAGGGCAGTTCGAAAATGTATTCCAAGTGAAGACCAATGTCAGACAAAGCTGCTCATTTTCCCCCTTTCTCTTTCTTCTGGTGGTTAAGTGGTAGAAGACTTCCATAAATGAGGAGAAGCACAGGATACAGTGGATAGCTTGGATGCAGTTAAATTATTTGAACTTTATAGATGACCTAGCCTCTCTATCCCATTCACAGCAACAAATGCAGGTGAAGACAGCAGAAATAGTGACAGCCTCTATAGCAGTAGGCCTCAACATTCACATGGGAAAAAGCAATATCCTCAAAATACAAAGCAAAGACCAACCAAGTCAAACTTCATGGGGAAGCTCTGGAAGGAAAAACTTTTAAGAACCTCAGCAGTATCACTGATAAGCAAGCGGGGTGTGATGCAGACGTAAAGGCACGGATTGGCAGAGCAAGACCAACACTCACAAAATTGAAGGGGATTCGGAACTCATAATTCAATACAAAAATCAAGATAGTTCTGTTGTACGGAGATGAAACTTTGAGAACTGCTACAACCATCATTGAAAAAGGTACAGGTATTTTATAAATAGTTGTCTACGCAGGGTACTCTAGATCTGTTGATCAGACACCACCAGTAATAACCTACTCTATCACAGAACAGACCAACAACTAGTTGAAGAGGAAATTAAGAAAAGACGCTAGGGGTGGATAGGCCAAACTTGATGGCAATCACCAAGCAACATCACAATGCAAGCCCCAACTTTGAATTCTTAAGATGAAAGGAAAAGAGTAAAAACCAATGAACGCATTGCCTCGAGAGTTGGAGGTAGACATCAAAGAATAAACAGCACCAGGGAACAATTGGAAAGGAGAGCCAAGAACAGAGTTCGTTGAGGATTTCTGGCCTGTCCCTATGCCTTAACAAGTGCATTGTGGAATGTTTGACATTATACGTTGTTGAAACGTAAGTGGACTATGCTAAGATTTCGCAATTTCGACTTCAGTATAGTCAACAAGACTATTTCTATCCACTTTTTTCCTGCTCCGCTAACGAGAAGAGAGAAGTGTAGTAATGGAAGCCTTTTTAACAACCACAATATATACGAATACACATCTAGGCTAATGATTCGCATTTATGAACTTAGTATGCGTCAAGAAACACACGTTTTAACGGTAATGTGTTAAAAATCCATGAGCATAGTCCACACTAAACAATTTAATGTATCACAAACTCATCATAATAGATACTGATTTCCTTTATTACTACTTTTATTTGGGGATTGACCATTCTCAACAAATGTTTTACGTGCTCGACAGAAAAATGAATGACTCAATCTTTCTGATGGAATTTCAAAGTTTTAAGTCTAAAGAATAACATGCGTTATTGTTCCACAAATACTGTATAAACAATTTAGGATGCACCAGTTGAAATACATTCCTTAATTCAAACAGAGCATATAGCTTATAATATGGGATTTTAAAATACCATGATAAAATAAGTAAAGCATACCTGTCAAAATCCAAGTATTGTTTATCAATAGATCTAAAATAGCTGAAAGCCCATCGAGCTAAACGACCAAAACACGACTGACCAAAGCGAAAAAGTATGAATACCGACCGACTAGAAAAATCTGATGAGAACTAATAAACATAAGACATTCTCAAAAATGAAAAACACAACGATTAGCATTGAAAATAAAGTCTGATAATTGGAAACCTAATATATCGAATGTATCAATGTGAAGTGGTTGAGAGATGACAGCTCACAACGCAATTCGTTGGATGTCAAAATGCTACACGGGTCCTCAGTGTTATATCTCGAACTTAGATTCCTAGTACGTCGCGTATAACTTAAGCTCTCGAACGCTAGAACCTTCCCAAGTCGCAAAATAAGAAGACAGAATACAAGTGGAAGGAATGTTATTCCAAACAGTGTCAATTGTCGTACAAAACTGTCAGGTATTTATAGTTTTTAGTAAAAACGGAATCATCATTATAGTTATCCGATTCGCACATAGGGGGTTATTAGCATTTGTCCAATAGGGAAGCTACACGTAATGATTCTGGAATATTTTTCCAAAGGCTGATTGGATGGGATATGTTCGGATCCTTCTGGGCTTCTTAGAGCTTCCTCAACTTCACCTGTGGACCGTCCTCACACCTCCTCCCTTTAAAGTCTGTTGTGTAAGACTTCTTTCTTGGATCCTGAAACTTGGTTACCGCATTCCTCTTGCGGCTCATCACTCTCGAAGGTTGTACCGCTTTACCCTTGTGTCGTTTATCTCTTTTACATTCGCGCGCCTGAGGGCTTTTTCGAGATGAATCCACGAGCAATTGAAACGGGGGTCGGCTTTTTGTCATCAATGTTCTGTCGTCCCTTTGAATTTGATTTATGTGTCTTATATACGTTCCGACATCTTTCCGGATTAGGTACAATACACTTCCAATCCGACGTTCTATAACACCTGGTTCCCACTTCCTGTCGCCTTGATACGATTTAACAAGTATCCTTTCACCCACCCGGAAGCTACGAGTGACCATACGATACTCATTCGTGGGTTTATTTGTCTTTCTGAGTGGCAACATATTGTTAAAAACTGTCCGGACTTTTCTTCCGAACATACACTCGGCTAGTGTATTTCCTTCTGGTACTGCCGGATAAGTAACTCTGTAAGACATTAGGACACGCAGGCCACATGTTATAACACCCAGTAAAACTCTACTCTTCTATTGATAGATGAATACAAACATATCAGATCATCTAATGAACCTAATCCTTGACTATCGAGTTTAATGTCTTGCATACGCACTTAATAACTGTCGGCCACAGAGACATAGTGGAGACATCTTACCAAAAATCTTCGAAGCTGCTTCAAATATTGACGCTTCAATGTGTAGTTGTGTAACAGAATACTTCAGTATTCAAACAAAATGCTAAGGTTTGTATTAGAGAATCTGAGTAATATTCTGACAATGTTAGTCAAGTATACTTCATGTAGACGCTGAAGACATTGTCTAAAAGGACAATGAATGCCTTGCAAATAGACTATCTGGGTCGGAGGAATCAGTGTCACTAAAAGCGTCCATCTGAGCTACAAGTTTTATTCGCTATCTCAATGGTAATGCTTTCTTGGAATTTTTCCCAAAACGAACACCGCGTGGCTTGTATTAACCTTAGACAAAAGTCAGAACACTGCTCCTACCAGGCTTTGACTTTATTACATTTGTCACATAGGTTATCATTCAGTTAGTCATCAGCAGCGTAGAACCTGGTATGCGTTTGCGTCGGTCCGATTTCCCATACCACGTCAGCACAGTCGGGGGAAATTATCGGGATGAATGTCAAAGTGGTTGAAGTAGTAGTATCAGTTGAAGTGAAAAAACACTAGACATGAGGAATCTTTTTTCATAGTTCATAGAATCGAAAGTACGGAATAATTTCGAAACTCAAATTGCATAACCGGGTAAAATGGAAGAATGGTTGAGCATCTCTTCTTAGAATGAGACCCTGATCTGTGGTCGTATGAAACTCTAAGGACGAATGAGAACAAGACCCGTCGATGACTTACTTGCTCAAGTTGCACGATATGTAGAAAATAAACTCAGCATTTAAGAGAACGTGACAATAAAACTCGAACTGATATAACCTAGCTCCAAACCTAGTCTGCGATGAAATTAGTTATGAGAACTGATAATAGAATTTTGTGGATATCACCAAGTGGTTACCAGTCGATCTTATTAGGCTTAGGGAAAGAGAACAAAGGAAGACAATCAAGGTGCGCATCGTTCTAGAGTTTGAAGGTAGTTGGGGCTAATATTGTGGTCTCATGTCTAATGAATAAGATGTCTCCGGGGGTCAATATAACAATGAGAATTTCCACATAACGAGTGGTGGAAGCATTGTGTCATTCGTTTGTGAGCAAGGTAGGACCTGATAACGATGCCCATTAGCATGTCAGCAAAATTTAGGTTAGGGTAACAAGGGGAGACTATTGCTTGAGTCATACTTTTCAACTTATTGGTGTTAAAAGTATTGGAAAACCGACCATAAAAATATCGCTCAAAAAAGACGATTACAATGAAGAACGGAAAATGCGGGATGGTGTTGGGACTAAGGACTCAGAAAGATGAACTAAGAACAAGTAAAGTTAGATTATACGACAGCAAGGAGCAGCCTCAACCTAACAATTTCCTTTTCGGAAATGCAAAGAGTATAAAGTTCTCCCTAACTCTTTGGTATGAGTTTAAGAGACCTCTTTTTAATATTTTCTAGCGAGTAGGGTTGCCATTGAAAAATTTGAATCAATGACAAACCCTTTACGGATACAATTAATTTCTAAAATTGTTCAGCAGAAAGATTTGCTGTCACAAATACTTATAAATAGAAGTTGGGAGAAAAATGACGGAAACAGCCAACGTAAGCTGTAGTCATTTCATTTGATGTAGAAATAAATACTACATAGTAGAGAAAGATGTCAGTTGACCTTTGATCAAAGACTAATATAGAAAATGCAATGACCAAACTTCATTTGTTCATCCGTTCTGTAAGGTCCGGTTTAGAAACAAACCACACTTCAGTTTTGCATGTTTTTGTGACAGCATCGTAAACCTCAAAACAGGACATTAAGGTGAAAAGTCCGCATACTTAACCCAAACTAAGCGTCAGTTAAACATCATTAAAATGGAAATAACCGCTCACATTTTAGTCCTTCAACGAGCTCAGCGTACTTATTATTATAAACTCAGAACAGATGCATAATTCAAGCCCATCGCATGAAACTCATAGGACGATAAGGGATGTTCCTCAGTACACTAATAAACTGTAAGAACCGAGAGCAAGACAAAGAAAATGTTTGGCATGCCAAGGTGTTATTTGCATCGTTATGAAAAGAATCTACAGCCTGTTCAAGGAATGGTATGGTAGTAAGCTATAATGGTTTAAGCGATATTTTATCACTCTTTTGCATCAAGTAGCTTTTAGTTATACGGGGACAGAACAGAAGTTAGACACCACACAAAGATAATAGTGTAAACTGTATCAATTTTTCACAAAAATATTAATGACGGGAGATGGAGCTGTTTTGGGAGGGATCAGTTGTGTATATCCTGTTTCTTAACTAAGGAAAAGGTTCGTAGTATTTGAATATTTTCCCAATTAAGAGCTATGATGTTACCAATAAGCTGCTGAGTTAAAACATGTTGAAAAAGGTAAACAATGAGCAAACAAGGAAATAGCACTTCTTTGTAAAGTCAGTGATTGTAGATCTAAACCATACCAGAAGGTTTAGACCTACCAAAATGAATACTCCACGCGGCGAAAATCAGAAGTTTGTCACTGTAACATGGTAGCTGACGTATTGACTAGTGTCACACTTCAGCAAGTGACTGTAACTACATAGTTAAGACCAAATTTGGACTAAATTGGTTTTCTTGGGTTTGTTGTTGAGGATCTCTATTTAGGCATCAAACGGTCATCAACGCTAATATTTTAAACAACAAACAAACAAAACTGACTATGTTGTTACCACGAGGGAGTTTTCATCTCCTTTTGTAAAAATTAAAGTGATAAAATTTTGTTCAGTTACCGAACGCTAACTAATAATATTGATCATTAGGATTGGCGACCCACTATTTAAGATATCTGACATCAACTCATCAGGAACAAATAATCTTTACCGCATAAGGTTGGGTACAGATTTTGATGATAGGTGGAAAAAATCACTTAAGACCTCTAGCAGTTACATCTTGTCATAAGCAGAATACTTATTCACGTAAATATTTAAATGATGTAAGCCCTGCGTATTCGTAGAGCATTGTAAGCAATTAGAGGTTGGTAAGCCATTGGAATATATAACCGTATGTAATCTATCTGTTCAAAAATGTACTACGATATTAAAGGTAAAAGAGTAATGAGGTTTTAAAAAATCTGACAAAAACTCACATCATTGGACAATACAACTTCGTGAACTTCTATGGAATCCTTATGAAAATAATCAAGACTATGTTGAACGTCTGATTCAAGTATGTTTGAACGTAACAGTAACTTACAAGCGTTGTCATTTACCGATGAAGGTGGGAGAGCTTCATAAAGAATTCGAAAATGCATGTAATTTTGTCTTCTGACATTCATCCTTTTAAACTAAACATCCTGAGTAAAACTCGAAAAATACCTACATCTCGATAGTTGATATCCAGGTACCGTTTTACAGAAAATCCCACACAAACTACCGAATAACCAATGCTATTAACGTATAACCATACTAATTTGATCATACCTGTGTGCTGCAAATGGACGGAAAACATAAATGCCGTGAGTGGGTTTCGTTGCTTTTGAGTAGAGACTAAATTCGAAATATATGAAAACAAAACACAGCGACAAAGTGAGGAAACACAACCCTTGATCTAAATTTATTATTCGGTCGGTCATCACACTAACCAGTATGCCGCAGAATGTATACCCATACATGCACACTGCCGAATGTGTAAACCCATGACACAGGTACCAAGAAGAAACATATTAAATCAATTGTAATCAAAATAATGATAAATACAATTGTGTATTGCTGCATGTGAAATATGAACAGACATTATATTTACCAGTCCTTGGAACTTCAGTGAGTCATGTATCGAGCAAACAGACAGCCAAACAGGCCAAAAGTACTCAAACCTCATGTCCGTTGATTGATTTACTACAAACAGTACTCCCCATATTATGAATACCAGGAGGTATTGGACATAACTGAAGACGGTTGATAATATTTCGAATACTTACGCCAAAGATAGTAACTCGAAGACTTTGCTTCTTTTACAAGAACGTTTCAGTCTGTTTAAGTCAACATTCTTGCGACGAGTGGGCATAGCCACTTAAAACAAACATCAGACGAAACTCAACAACCTGATTCGTATACTCGAATTGCCCGCTCAGTAAACTGTTCATATGGCGAAGACATTGCAAAGAAAACTAAAAAATAATTTCCTAGCTCTACAATCAACTTTCACTATTCATAGCACTACTAAATTTATACTGCACACAAAATCGTTCATGATTTGTAATCATAATAAGCTTCTACTCTGTAATAACGTATTAGATTACTCTCAACCCCTATTGGCTTAGTAATCTCAACACCTGGCTTATCAACCTGTAGCTGCAAATAATTCCCCAAAATCAATAGCTTTCTAAGTGTTCGACATTGGATGCTGACCACGTTGTTTTAAGTGGACTTGTTTAACTGAAGGCTCTCGGTCATGCATCCGTACCAGATCACGTTTCAACTCGGCGTGGGACACTGCTCCTACGTTCACTAGTCAGCTTAGAATAAACGTTCCTCGATATATTGATAACGCATCTAATATACCTTTCCTACCTCTTCTCGTCTGACTTCTGATTTCCATTGGCCAAGAAGGTTTCGATTATAGAAGGTGCTACTGGTAGCTAATTGTAAAGTTAGAATAACTAGTCGTATCCTCAGTGGTGAGCCTTACGTGATCTGGTACACCAAACAAATAAACTGTGAGTCCGTTCCTTGTCGGAGTATTATTATTGATTGTTATACTTTATTTGATTTTTATATATTGTGATATACTTTTTTTCTCGAGTTTTTCCGGATATATTTTAATCAAATATTTTACGTTCTTAATATTACTATGACGGAACACTCACCTAAAGTATTTAAGTCAAGGACTACTCTCCCGTCATCGATTCAATTAACTCCCTTCTGGCCTGATAATATCGAGTCTTGGTTCTGCTACGCAGAAGCTGATTTTTGCTGGCACGGAACCACAGACTCGTGCACACGATTCCTCGCGGTATTTAAGGGGTTACTGCGCGAATTCAACAGGTACGTAACACCTAGTATGTTTACTAGTGATGTTTCGGAACCATACGAAACGTTGAAACGATTAATTCTGTGACGTGGAGATCTAACCGACCGACAACGGTTAGACCAACTCCTCAATAATATCGACCTACAACATGGTTCAGTGACGGACATGTTGTTAAGGATGAGAGAAGTAATAGGTCAAAGAACCTTCGACGATGGCCTATTTAAACAACTTTTCTTATCCAATCTCCCAAAACAGGTGCAAGTAGTGCTCATCTGGTTCCAAAACAACGCCGTAGACGAACTAGCTGCATCTGCTGATCGAATTTTAGAAATTACCGAATCGGCTAGCACCGAGGTTTTTTCCGTCAAGGAAAAACCTCAATGGACTCCGACTGACATAGCCGAACTATGTCACACACTAACACGATATCTTCGATTTCGTAATGACCGTAGTCGGTCAAAAACCCCGCGTAGAAGTATCTCACGTGAGCGATCTGCCTCTCGACCACGAGAGACAGAAAATCCCGACTGGTGCTAGTATCATAACCAGTATGGTAAGTCCTCCAGAAATTGCAGGAAGCCCTGCAATTATCCGAACTCCAAATCCACGGACACAAAAAAGTACTCGGGAAACTTCCAAGACGGCACGCGTTAACGGCAACCGTAGCCGGCGAACACAGTCGTCTGTCGTATGTCACCGATGTGACCACGGAAGTTCGCTACATCGTCGACACCGGCGCAGAAGTTAGCGTTCTTCCAGCAAATCCCAGCGACAGACTTCGCGAGTCTGTTTTAAGTTTACAGGCGGCAAACAGAAAGCCGATTGCTACTTACGGTAAAAGGTACGTCTACCTTAACGTGGGTTTACGCAAACCCATACACTGGATTTTCGCGGTTGCAGATGTCTCTATGCCAATCATTGGTATAGACCTGTTACAATACCACAATCTACTTATCGACACGCTCACGAAAGTTAATAGACGGAAACACTAGGTTATCCGTTTGCGTAACTCTTTGTTCTGGTTGCAGATTATCCCCAGTCACAATTAAGCACACCATAGACCCCCTAAACCAAACATTACTCGACAAATACCCCGGGATATACCAACCGCAATCCAAATTGCCTTATGTAACCAGCAATGTTACACACCACATCTCGACTACAGGACTACCTGTATTCTCGAAAACCCGCGGACTGTCTCCCGAAAAGCTTAGGTTAGCTAAAAACGAATTCAATCATATGATAGACTTAGGGATAATTCGACCATCAAATAGTCCATGGTCATCTCCATTGCACATGGTCCCTAAAAAGGACAGCAATGATTGGCGTCCAACTTGTGATTATCGGCGTCTGAATGCTAAAACCATTCCCGATAGTTACCCGTTGCCTCACGTTCACAATTTCACAGCTACGTTGAAAGGTACAACTGTCTTTTCAAAAATCGACTTTCTTAAGGCTTATAACCAAATACCGATGGCAACCAACGACATTCTTAAAACCACCATCATCACTCCTTTCGGTCTTTACGAATTTCTATGAATGCCTTTCGGCCTAAGAAATGCGGCTCAGACCTTCCAAAAATTTTTTAGACGACGTCTTCCGAGGTCTCAACTTCGTACATGCGTATGTTGATGTCTGTCTAATAGCAAGTCCGGACAGAGAATCACATCTCAAGCATCTGGACATTGTTTTCGATCGACTCCAAAGGCATGGAATTACTGTCAACATTCAGAAATGCCAAATCGGAACAAACTCCTTAGACTTCTTAGGACACACTATTGATGCTCAAGGCATCCGACCTCTTAGAAGCAAAGTGGCGGCCACTCTGGATCACTCAGAACTGACCGCGACCAAGCAGTTGCGAACTTTTAACGGTCTCGTAAGTTTCTATAGACGAATCATACTTAAATGCGCATCTCTTATGAAACCGTTAACCGACCAACTTCGTGGAAATGCGAAATCAATTGATTTGGACGACACATCCCGAAAAGCATTCTCCACAGTTAAGGAACATATCGCTCAGGCAACCCTGCTTGCGCATCATGACACTCAAGCGCCCATTAGTATCACCGTAGACGCATCCGACTCAACAATCGGAGGAGTCTTACAACAATGGGTTAACAACTCTTGGCAATCTTTAGGATTTTTCTCGAGACGGTTGCTAGACGCGGAATCTAAGTACAACACGTTCGGTAGGGAACTCCTAGCTATGTATTGTGCTGTACGGCATTTCCAACATTCCATCGAAGGAAGAGAATTCACACTTTTTACTGATCACAAACCTCTTACCTTCTCTTTAAGTTCACCTTCAGATAAGTACTCACCGCGAGTCTCGACAACTCAACTACATTGTCTCGAATAGGTTCCTTGAACAATTTCCAAGGAATCGACCTTCTCAAACTCGCTCAGCTTCAAAAAGAAGACATTGATCTTCAGCATGAGTTATCCTCAACAATTCTTAAACTAAGTATTAAGCAGATGGGGACAGGTAAGGGAACCTTACTTTGTGACACATCTACAGGTAGGGATCGTCCAATCGTGCCAAAACATTATCGACGCTACGTCTTAAATGCGTTGCACAATCTTTCTCATCCAGGTGCTCGTGCAACAATCAAGCTTATATCCGAACGCTTTTGTTGGCCTGGCATGAATAAAGACGTGAGGGAGTGGGCACGCTCCTGTGTAAGCTGTCAGAAATCTAAGGTCATAAGACACAACAAATGTCCCTTAAGCTCTTTCAAAACCCCTGACGCTCGTTTCGACCACATTCATCTAGATTTGGAAGGACCCTTACCCGATTCCAACGGATACCTATATCTCTTAACATGCGTAGAGCGTTTCACTCGATGGCCAGAAACAGTGCCTATTAAGGACATTACTGCTGAAACATTGGCTCGCACCTTCGTTGAACGATGGGTAGCTAATTTCGGCTGCCCTTCAACCATCATTACAGACCGCGGACGCCAGTTCGAATCTGCACTTTTCCGCTGTCTGACCTCACTCGCTCCCGAACGATCGCCTACCACCCACAAGCAAACGGGTTGGTAGAGCGTTTTCATCGACAACTAAAAGCTTCACTATCAGCTATGAACGTTTCGCAGTGGACAGACGCTCTTCCACTCGTCTTGTTAGGTATCCGCAATGCAGTGAAAGCTGACTTTGGATACATTGCATCTCAACTCGTTAACGGAACGACACTCCAACTTCCAGGAGAATTTGTGGATCCTTTGTCTTCTTCATTGAACATGGATCTAGACTCTTACACGAGTAGGCTTACAAACGCAATGCGTTCAGTTAAACCTGCTCACACTCGACCTCAATCAACTGATGTTTTCATTCAACCCGAATTACGACATAGTACACACGTCTTCGTTCGTCGAGACTCACATCGACGACCTCTCGAATCAGCATACGAAGGACCCTTCAAAGTTCTTCAGCGTGAACCCAAGTACTATGTAGTCAATAAGAACGGCACGAACGATAGCATCAGTATCGATCGCCTCAAAGCAGCGTACTTATAAGGAAACCCTAGCTACATCGAATTTCCTTCGGTACAATCGAACGATACGGCCAACACACTTGTAGTACCCCATACGACAGCCAACACACACCTTGACACTTCGTCAACATCGGAAAAGAAACCTAAAACAACGCGTTTTGGAAGGAGAGTAAAATTCCCAGAACATCTTAACGACTATTGCACGTAGGACACAAACTCAATCTCGAATCCCCTTTTCATTATTTATTATAAACAATAATTTTTTTAATATGCTCATTTTTTTATTTATTTCAAAAAAACACAAAAATAACAAAACTTTTTATTTTTTGAGTATATTTATATATATATATATAAACTCGTTTTTACCTTTCGATTTACGCTGTTTGTAAGTGTATCAGTTTATTTATTTTTTACCGCTTATTTTGTGTCCTTACGCAAGTACTAGTGTATTTTCGACATGCACTCACACGTTCTATTTTTTCTCTTTTCCAGGACGGCTGGAAAAGAACGACGAAGTTTCACAAGGGACCGAAAT